ACTGAGCTAAATCTATGGCCCTTAAAAATACTTTTTAAAAAAATGTTATTTTGACATAAAGTGTGAAGAAGAGCACAAAGAACTTTTTTTCTAAACCACTTGAGTAATATCTGACATAATATCCTATTACCCGATGTTTTAGGGTATTTTCTACAAACAAGGATAATTCAACCATCAAAATCAAGAAATAAACTTTGATATAGTTCTACCATCTATTCCCCAGACTCTATTCATAATTGGCCTGCTGTTCCAAATTTGTCCTTCACAGCAAAACAATTAAGTCCAGAACCACATGCTGCATTTATTTGTTTCTTTGTTTCCTTTTATTCTGAAACAATACTTTAGTCAACCTTGATTTTCATGATCTTCACACTTTTAAATATTAGGGACCAGTTATTTTGTAATCTCTTTCAATTTGAGTTTTTCTGCTTTCCTGATGATTAAACTCATGCTATGCTTCTTTGGCAGAAGCCTAAGAGGGATACTGTCACATTATCTCACTGTATCCAATCAGGTGGCATGTGATTTTGTCTTGTTCCATTATTAGACGAGGTTAACTTTTTTTTTCTCCTGGTACTGGGGATTAAACCCTGGGCATTCACACTGAGCTACATCCCCATTCCCTCCCATTTTAAAAAATTTTGATACATGGTCTTTCTAAAGTGTCCAGCTTGGGCTCCAACTTTCGAACCTCCTCAGCTTCCCGGAGTATTGGGATTATTGGTGTTCACCACCACACCTGGTTGATGAGCTTAGCTTTAATCACTTCACTATGGTTTGTTTTCCAGGCTTCTCTACTGACCAACTTACTCTTTCTTGCTTTGTATTTTATGGCAAAATACCTTCAGAAAGCCCATTTCTCATCATACTTTCAATTTATTCATATCAATATCAACTCCTGGATTCCTCTTTGATAATTACTCTGATGCTCAAATTGCTCCCGGTGTGGCCAGTAGGAATTCTTTCAAGACAGCTTCTCTTCTCTTTTCTTTTGTTTTCTTTTTTTGGTACCGGGGATCGAACTCAGGTCCTTGCGCTTGCGCAGCAGGCGGCGAACCCACTGAGCTAAATCCCCGGCCCAAGCTTCTCTTTTCTTTAAAAGAGTTTCTATTTTCCATGTTCTTCTGACATGTTCCCATCACCCTCTGAGCACCTGATTACTTTCTGAAACCATACAACATTCCATGTTCATCTTGTATTTTCCTGGCCCCAGGCCTGGAAATCAGTTAAAGGAACTCTGGTTCCTTGTATAATGGTGAATGGTATTTAAAAACAAAAATCTGAGTGCTAGGTGTGCTCATTTCTACCTGGGTATTGCTGCTCCCAAGCTGTCTCAATGGCAGAGCTAGGGAATATACATATACTTATTTATATCTGTATTTCTCTGTCTATATACTGTATGTTGGAAATCATGAATTCACACAAATATGAACAATTCCAATCCAACACAGTATTCATTCCAAACACAGGGCTCAATCCAGTTTTCTTCCCCTACTTGCATAACCCTTATCAGGTAATGAGAAGCCTGGCTTCCATTATCTGTAACATATTTACATACGTGACTAGTCTCTTACATGTCATCAGTTTTCTCTTGCTACTATCCTATCTCCAGCCTATACTGCTCTCCTCAACCCACTCAGGTCCTGACTTCCTAGGCTGTACTCTGTATGGAACCCCTTCTTACACCCCACTCAGGTTCTGACATTCGATGACAGACCACTGCTATCACCCCTCTCCAAACATAGACATCCTCTTTCTTCCTCCACTTAGGCCCAAAACCCTGTACCAAAAAGCCCTCCTACACGACCTTTCCCTACCAATGCTCAGGCTCTGACCCCATGATACAACACTGCTACTGTCTACCTACCCTTCTCCCCATTTCCAGGGATTCTTCCTCACCCCACCCCCTCTACATCTTGCCTTCCCTGAAGATGCCTATCTTGCCCAACCTCACCTAGAGGCTTTTGAACTGAATTCTTCAGGAAGAAAAAATTTAATTTTTAGAAATCTGTATCAACTATTTATGATTTAAGTGAATTATAACACTAAGTGTAAGGGGATAAAAAGAATATTCCATATGTTATTCAAGAAAGCATAGAAGCATAAAGGTCTCAGTGGGTACAAAGGACCATTCTGGGCTAACGTGGCACCAAGGGACTTTTAAGCATTAAAGCTTTGTTAATCTGATGCTCAAGATAGCCATCTCTGCCTTCAGAACCCAGTGAAGGAGACCGTACTGGCAGATTTTGGTACAAGTTTCCTCACATTTTCAGAGCATACAGACAAAAAGAAGGTAAGGATCCTGAGATAGAATATGATCAAAATAGAGTCCCTCTGCTTTCAAAATGCACAGTTCTATTGATTTTTTTTTCATTTAAACATACAGAAAAAATAAAAAAAACTGCCACTATGATCTAGTCAACAATATTATTAGCATTTTAATGAACCTTCTCTTCCAGATTTCTATGTCCACGTATATACAAACAAAATCTAACATAAACTTGTATAGTACATATTCTTTCATAATAGCTTTTCTCTTTTCCCCATAGGTAAAGGCACTCTAACACAACATGGTACACAACAGCCATTAAGCACATTATAGTTTAACCCAGAAGAGTGAGAAATACTGGCCCTGAGGTGCAGACCCTGCTCAACCACACTCTCCCTTCCTCCCAGGATAACAGCATTCTAAACTGCTGTACTGGCTACTGAAGAGCATATTCTTCATTCTCACTATAGCTATGTTCTGGCCAATAAAAGAGCTGAAGGGTGCCAAATCCAGGTCATATGTTTCACATGACTTCTTTTTCATACTGGCTGTAATGAATCATCTCAGACCATGCAGGCAGCAATGACATCATAAGGACAACAGAAAAAAAAGAGATAGTACTTGGGCCCTGACGACTTCACAAACTTTTGTATAAGAGAAAGAAATTTCTCTCTTCTTTCAGCCACTGTAAATACGGATCACAGTATAAGGAGCCTAATGAACTCACCAAAGCAAGGTCTCAAAAAGAGACTCACAGAATGTGTAGCTCTGAGCAATATTGCTTCCCATAGAGTTGAGAAAGCATCTTCCAAAGAGGGGGGGATGATGCCTTGGGTACAAGGCTCACATCTTCAAGGCTGTAAGATAAAAATACTCCAGCATCCAAAGCCTGTATCCTTTGCCCCACAGTACTATGGAAAGGAGGCAGAAGAGGGACATACCTTACATGAAGGGTTTCCTGTACTCCAGCAGTTTGACGTTCTTCCATACAACATAATGGTTGGAAACACAGGCTTCATAAAAAGACCTGAGTCTGAACACTGGTTATCTTTTAGAAATTCTGAGAACTTATATAAGTTCTTATCAGAAAACTGTGATAGTATGTTATGTTTAAACAACATATAAACTGGATATGGTTCTGTGTCTAGCATGTGGTTAACAATAAAAATGGGCTTTTGTTATCTTATGCTAATTAAACCTCAGCTTTTGAGAGTACTTGTCATAAAGCAATTTAAACCTGGAGATAGTTACTCTATTTTAAAAATGGCTCTTCCTTGGGCTGGGGATTTAGCTCAGTGGTTCCGCTGCTTGCCTTGGAAGCACAAGGACCCGAGTTCGATCCCTGGTACAAAAAAAAAAAAAAAAAAACCTTTCCAGGTAAACGGACGCACCTTGACACTATATGCTTC